TACTTGCAATCTTTTAGCAACTTAACTACACACTTAAATAAACCAATTAGTCACTCAAATGTGTTTTGTAATCATCAAAATCATAGGTACAACAATCTCCCCCTTTTTGATGATGACAAAACACTTTGAGAATTAATTAATGAAAACAGATAAATACTTCAATATTAACCAGAATTTCAGCACACAAGGTACTCTAGAAAATGACATTGAATTCAGCATATTCTCTCCCCCTTTTTGTCATTCATCAAAAAGCACATAATCAACAAACTTCCCCTTAATTCATGCACATCAATCTTTAAAGCATTTAAGCATGATAACCATTAAGAAAAGTAATTTAAGCACAAAATGCTCCCCATTAATTCATGCTATCAACCTTTAAAGCATCAAGAATATGTAATGAATATAATCATCAATCATCATCAATATAGCACCATAGACAACCAAAGTCATGAATACAATCATCAACCAATAAACTCCCCCTCAATAAGAGCATATTAGCATCAAAATCATAAACAACCATTCACAAAGCATGTTAACACAAGTGATGCCAATTCCATTCATAAAAATGTTCAAGAAATATCCATAGTCAAAGAAAAGCATAACATGCATAACCCTAAGATGTCCAACCTAAAGATTAGCCAAACTAAAGAGATATCAAGTTAGGTGGCATCAGGTGGGGGTGGAGGAAAAAAATGGTTAACAAGCCGATCAAGCTTTCCTTCCACGTTAGTAAGCTTTCCTTCCACGTTAGTCATTCTCCCTCTCATTTTTGTCCGGAAACCATTCATTTCTGTCTGGAAACCATAAAAGTCGGTGTGCAGTTGCTACATCTCAGATATCATTAACTCCATGGTTTCACGGTTAGTTCGTTGCATGGAGACTCGAAAGGGTCTTGGGCTATCACCTCCATGTTCTTCTTCCCTTGTTCTGCCATTTCTTGATCTCCATCACCTTCTTCTTCATCACTTTGCTGTTCCATTGCTTGATCCCCTTTCTTCCTCCAGCTACCATTCCGAAACTCATATTGTATATTCTCAAAGGAAGCTTTATTGAGTGTAGTCCCACTTTGAACCTTTCCAAGCATAAAGGGTGTAAGATCAACATTGTTCCTCTTCACCAATCTAGTAATTAAAGCACCATGAGGAAGACCCATGTTTGATGGATAAGTCTTGATTAGGTTCCGGTAAATGAATCTTCCAAGGTTCAACCTCTTCCTTTTGAGAAGATAATCAAACCATAAGAGATCACCACTAAGTACAACAGATTTGGAACTCTTTCTCTGAGCAAGAATGCGACTAATAATCCACTGCAATGCTCTGTGTTCTGGTGTAAGAAATCCCACATTAATATGTCCAGTAGTACAATTTGGGGCAATTGTGGCTCTAACTTCAGATATATTTACACCTTCAAACTGATCATCTCCTCCTTCAGGTATTTCTAATGTAGCACAAATTTCTCTTGGTGAAAACTGAAATGATATCCCAGAAACCATGGTGCGGCATGTATTCTTTTTTGGTTTCAAATTAGCATAAAACTGATGAACTACTTCATGATACACAGGTTCCTTAATTTTTAAATAATTTATCCACTCAATATCTCTAAATATCTGTTCAATAAGCATATCTCCTTGAGGAAATTGACTGAATTTCACACAATTGCATGGTAGCACAGCCAAGTTTTTGAGAAAATTATAGCGATTAATAGCATCATCATCCATAAACAGAGCATTATCAACGAGGTTACCTTCCTCTTGGGCTTGGCCACCGGCACTAGAACTCCCAATTTGTTTCCTCTTGCTTCCGCCCCTTCTTGAAGCCATGAGAGAGAGAACTCAGCAAAAACCAAGCAAAATTGGAGTAGAAAGCTTGTGGATTTGTGTTGGGTAGGTAAGGATTTGAAGAAATTTGAGTGTTTAAGGGATGGGTTTTGGAGATTTGGAGGGATTTTGGTGTTTGAGAGAGTGAATGGCGAGATTTGGGAGAGGAGAGGTCGCGGGATTGAAGCAGATCTGGGCTGGTTTGTGCGGGGAGAGAGAAACCCGAGGCCTTTAAAAATCTGCAGGAGAGCCGGCTATAATTGTAGAGCTGGCTTTGAAGCGGTACGGGTTCGGGTCGCCTGCGATTGAGCCGGCTGGAGAACCTAGAGCCGGCTGTGGCTTAGAGAGGGAAGACTCTTGGTTTTTTTGGGTTGAGCTGGTTGTAAACCTAGAGCCGGCTGTGGGGTAGAGAGAGAACACTCTCGGGTTTTTGGTTGAGCCGACTCTACTGGCCTTGATTGGGACAAACAGAAAGTTTGGGGCTGTTTTGAAGGGAATGCACCTTAATTTGATATTTCTTCATTTAACTAAGTTTAAATTGGACATCAACTACTAGATAATGCAACTTTAGTCATATATCAATGTATGCATCATCAAATATCATGAATATAATCAAGGTACACAAATTCTAATACTCAAATTCATTAAATTCAAGAATCATATCAAGCACTAGGATCCAACATGCCAAGCTCATTAATTTGCATAAATTTGAATAATCACATCAAATCATATCATATTCAACAAGCATATATATCAAAGAGTGAACACATATAAACAAATCATTAATAGTCATGTTGAAATAATTATACTCAATGAATAAATGCAATAAAATAAATAATACCAATTTGAGCACATGAGTGGAGCATTCAAAAACAAATTTCCTTTGCACTTTCACTCCAACATTCTTGTTGAGGCATAAGTCTTTATCAAGATCAACTTTACTCTTCTTATGACTTTGCCATCAACTTTTCCTACAAAACAAAATTAAGTTTTGATTTTTGGTACCCAAATTTGCGTAGGTCCATGAGGGTTAGTGCTTAAAGTTCCTTTTGGAACCCAAATTTGCTTCACTTTACCTTGAGCTATCAATCTCTTCAAAGGACATACATAAGCAAAGTGTCCATTTGCACCACAACAATAGCAAGTAACACTAGGATAATAAGATTGACTTGCTCTTACAAAGGTAGTCTTAGAAGTCTTTTGCTTTTTAGAATAATCAAATCCAATGCCCCCTTTGTCATAAACATTTCGTTGAGATTTTAAGATAGAATCAAATTTTTCTTTACTCAAAGTAAATTTGGAAATCACTTTCTCAAGATCACAAGCTTTTCTCTTTAAAACCTCATTTTCCTTCTTTAAATCTCCATTTCCTTTCTTTAAATCCTCATTTTCCTTTTTCAAAGCATTATTAGACTCCTCATTCTTTAAAGAAGCAATCTCACCATTTAAAGAGGCATTCTCTTTAACTAAAACATCATTTTGTTTTGAAAGAGATTCAATCTCATTCCTAAGCAATGAAATGGTTTTAGTAAGAGCAATATTGTCATTTCCTAGTTTCTTAATGTCATTCATAGAGCAATCAAGAACTTTGCATAAATCATCATAAGAATACTCAAATGAACT